ATGAATCAGGGCTCAGTTTAAGTTCATCTTCTCTCATCTCATAAACTTAGAATAGAATAGTTCGGTTGGAAGGGACTTAAAATAATCATCTAGTCCAACTGCATCTCTACCTGACTATGAAAAAACTGCCCTTTTTTCCTTTAAGAATCATGTTACTGAAATCCCATTTCTGAATTAGTCTTCATCAATGATAATGACACAGTTGGTAGCTGATTAAGTGAGACTTCATATCAGAAGATATACCAGGTACCCAGATATCTCCATATCTTTTATAAATACAGCTTTGCTGTCTGAGACTGTTCCTTTCCCTCACCCACCAGCAGAGATATCCTCCACGGGAATTCACTTGCTACAGCCCATGATGCTAAGGTGGGATAGAATTGGGCAGAATTGTATACTGCTTTTTTGTTTTTCTTTTTAACTGTCACTGTATTAATGCTGTGGTGGGAGTCAGCTAAGCAGAGAACTGCATGAGGGGTGTGCATGCCTTGGGAGCATCCACAGGTGCTGTGGAGCAAGGCAGTGAGCACTGCGGACTCTGCTGCGAGCTCTGCTGGAGATGCTTCTCCCAGGCCTGTAATTCATGCTGAGCATGGAAAGAGCGTGGCTGCAAGACAGTGTCCTGAGTAATAAAGGGTCTTCGCAGCATGGAGACTGTATGCCTCTAGCATCGATAGCAGGCAAAGTTTACTCCTGAGTTTTCATTTTCAGCACAAAATCAGTCTTTCAGATTCTTTTTGAATTAGGAAGGCAAGAAGAGCTGGGAGCCAGGATTTACTGCGCATATAAAACAAGGTACCACCAGTAAAGTTACCTGCAGCATCTGCCTTTGTGTAAAGGCAAATATGTTTGCCTGAAGTCCAAAATTCAGCAGCAGCCAGGAGCTTGCTGCCTTGCAGAGGCCAGATCGCATTTCTGTGAAAGCAGTAAATCCTAGCTCCCAGCTCCTTATAACTGAAGGGAGGAACATACCTGAGAAAGGGCTTCTCTATGGTTGCATCCAATTCACTGTTTTGGGGTGTTAAAATGCAGTCATGGGCACGTTTGCAGCATTTAAGATGGATAAAGTAAAAGTACTATTTCCTCCATTAACTCAGTCTTGCAGTATTTTCTCACCCAGCAAAAGAAGTGTTTCAGTCTGTCATTTTTTTTCTTTTAATCATAAACTATCATGGGAAGGAAAGAAAAAAAATAAAGTTTTTCTTTACAATTGATAGACCTTCACAGCTGTTTAGGTAAAGCTGTTTAAGTAGGTTTAAAGTAAGTGGAGTAATATTAACTTTTGAAAAAGAGGCAAGCTCTAGTTCCTTGAGCAGGCCATGCAGCGGCTGGTTAGTTGATTCCATGTTCTTAATATAGTCTTGAAGTTTTGTTTATTAGGTTTCATTGGAAATTTCCTGTGCTTGTTTTCCAGTGAGATTACAAAATTTTTTTGTTCCCATATAAGTCAGAAATGGGACTGCCTATTAACTATTCAACGGCTATTACTTTTCAACTTGCTAAATGTGAAAGTAAGCAATAGTATCATTCTCACAATTTTATGAGCGTAAAAATGAATTCGTTAGCGGAATCTGATTATGGCTTCATAAAACAGAAGGGTAATGATTTGATGCCTGCACCTATTACACTTGGTTAAAATTTGTATTTTCATAGCTCCCAAAAACCCAGATAGAGAGCGCAGCCTTGTTAAACAAAGTAGAATCCTAATGTTTAGCAGAAAGTCTTAAATTACTAACTTAATGAAACACAAACCAAGCATCAACAAACAACATGTAAGCAGTGACTTTAATAAATGAAATTACTTAATGAATAGCCCCTGTCCTGAGTTAGACATTATGATTGCTGTGAAAATGTAACATATCTCTAGACTCATCGATAGTCTTATGATTAGAGGAGAAGTAATTTTTCTTATTTAGCTCTGAATTGTACTGTAAACTTGGGTGATTTGAATAGGGCCTATAGCTTTTTTCCTAGATGCAGAAATCTGAATCTAGCTATTCACACTATATTTATTACCCAATGTCTATTAGCACCTGTAACTATACTTGTGGCACACTCTTGGCTTTGGATCCTGAGAATACTCCATGCTTTTCACCCACTAATCTCAAGGTACAGGACAGCTCGTATTTGACTTGGCATCCATCTGTGATGTTTCTTGTTAGCTGGAGTCTGTGTTGGTAAGCAATACAGGCTCTTCTCTATCAGGCATAAGCTGCTGTTTCTTCAACTTCAGGGCTTTTGGAATGAAACTGAAATTTAAAATAAACAGGCACCTTGTCATTTGGTAAATACATTTTAAAGATTGTTTATGTTTATATTTGAAATGTGTTAAGGTGAGGCCTCTGTAGCCTAAGCAGTTCTCTGGTGGGTGGGATTGCATTCTCGATGGCTGCTTTCACATGCATTGGTTTCCTTGGTATGATGTCAGCTCTAATTAAATGTGCAGCTGACTCCAAAGCTGGAGCAGCAGCAGAGCTTCAGAAGGGCCTGGAAGAGACCTCTAAAGTAAACTGGAAGAACAGTAAAAGCTGCACAAGATGAGTGCAGAGCTTTTACATGTGTGTTGTGACAGGTGAAATAAACTTCAAGGCTGTGAAAGACTGGAGAGAAGAGGGGAATACAGTAAGGGAGTCAGAATTCAATCTTGTGCCTCACAGCTGTGGGCTTATTACACCATTGCCCAAGGCTTCAGTATTTCAACACAGATATTTCAAGGCCACGTAGGGAGTGCATGAGAGTAGATGAATGGCCTGTGCGAAGTCATTGCTATTCGTAATCTTCCTCTTAAGCATCCATTCCACAAAACCTTCCTAGTACAAAAAATGAATGAATATGGTGGAAACTGTGTTGCTAAGACATGGTAGAGCTGATGGTTGGAGTAAGTTCAGAGTAGAGTGGAAAATGTTTCACTCTTCCCAGACCTTATCTTTTTGTACCTTTGGCGCAGCTCTAGAAGTAATTTGTTGATGTGGTTTGTGTAGAAAACACAAGCTACATTCAGATGGAAAGTCAAACAGATTGTATATAATGTGTTGCAGGCAGTGTTTTCTTACCTAATTTTCTAAAGAAGACGTAATGCTATTCCTCTGTCTGTGTCCACGTCCTTGATGTGTTTTGACCTGATGGCCAACCTCAGGCATATTTAACAGGGGAATAGATGTTGGGAAAGAAGTAATACAATGAAAGAGAGTCTGGAAGGAGAGGAGAGGCCCGAGTTAATGACCCTTTTTGGAGAGAAGACACATCGTTAGGACAAAGGAGCTGTATTTTGACCTACCTGCTCCTCTGTCAGCATGTGCCCGCTGGCACTTCATGACAAGAGGCAGGGCAGGATGTGCAGCCGCCTGTTCTGAGCCACACAGGAACAAACTGATAGGGGCTGAGAAAGAGAAGAGAACCGTGGGGATAAGGAGAAAACTGGTGGGCTCTATGCGAGAGGAGGGAGTTGAAGGTAGTAAGATGGAAAGAAAGTGGAGAGAATATGGGTGAAAAGAAAGGATGTAAAACTTAAATATGTGGAAAAGCAAGGTTGGTTAGTCCTAGAGCATATGGAACAACTTGTGTTGGGATCAGATAAGAGGGGCAGTAAGGTGGGGTTTTGTTTGGTTTTAGTATTTCTGTTTTTCAGTCTTCAGTTTTAGCTAAGATATTGCTAATTTTCTTTTTTGCAGGTCTTGATTTTATCCGGGCTGAAGGGTTTGTGTTTTCTCATGTTGCTGATGAAGGGATTATAAATGCCTGTGCAGGTAACCTGCTACGATACAGAAAACAAGTTGGAGCAGAGAACATTCAGATTTTTGCTGATATTAAAAAGAAACATAGGTAAATACAAGCAATTTTTTATGTAAATATGAATGTAATAATGATCTTATATTTTTCTCCATTTTCTTATTTTTTTTTAATGCCTATTTAGTGTGAGGAAAGTTAATGATATAGGGAGAACTTTATTGTTCAAGCAAGGTCTTGCAGTGGTATTAGAGGATATATTTAAAAATAAATTTGCACCTGTAAGCTGCAGGTTGCTGCATCTGTGAAGTTTACAGTTGTTTAACCTTCAGGATTTATAAATGCAGACTGTAAAAGTTTTGCATCTGGTATTGGGTGAGATTTTGTGTACTTGTGTATATGCCTATTATGTTTAAAGAAATTTTGTTTCTGGAGGCCAGGCATCCAAGGTTATTTTTAATTATGCAAGCAGTTGCCATATAAAAGCATACAAATCATAACATTTTGGCATTTTAAAAAGCTATTCTCTTTTTTCTCCTTCCTGCCAATAATACTGGTTTCTTCTACTTAAATCAGTGCTGTCTATGTACGGATTATGTTTTATGATTATCAGAAGGAACTTACGACAGATGAATCCAGTCTCTTTTCTGCTGATACTTTATCATAACTATCACATGGTACCTTCAGCTATTTAGATGTCACTCTTTGGATCTTTTTCACCAGAAGAGCTGCTCAAGTGTTAGATTATTTCGCATGTATAATATATAATTAAAATGTTTGTGTGTAGTATGTGGGTAATAATGAGAATAACCAAGTCTGGAAGATCTTAAATACCTAATAAACAGGTAATAAATTTCAAAATAGAAAGGAAACAATGCAGCGTGGTCAAATTAAGCTTTTAAGGTCCTTTCACAGTGATTTCTTTCTAATGATTTCTTTATATATATATGTGTATGTATATATATAAAAAAAAAATACATTGCATTAGACTTTTTTATAAAAAATCGATTGCATCATGTGATTTTTTTTCTTTGTCTTGACGATTGATGAATTGATATTTGGATTATACTTCCTGTTGTTCAAAGGGTTTGCTTTCTAAGAAACCCTTTTTGTTTCAGGCAGATTCATAAGCTGAGAAGGAAATGTTAAAGGACTTGTTGGTTGAGTCTTTTAATGTAGAAAAATATTCCTGTCACTGAGAGCTGCTAGTCTCCTGTTCTTTAAAGGGCGAGAAACTATTTTTGCAGTCTACTGCTGTGTTACGGCTACCCTCCATGTGCTAGTTTTAGGGTGCCTACTACTCTTAAGCCCCATTTCAACCTCATTGTGCGTATTAGGTACTTAGGCCTGCCTTTCTTCAGCTGCAGAAGGGTAGTTAGTGTAATTCCTTTTGCATCCATCGCCATGAGTGGAACGCACTGCACACACGTGTTGCCTCTGAATATGGCCAGAGCATGGACCCCTCCAAGAGTGTTGTCCATCCAGGCTGATCCAGGAAAGAGGTTGGCTCCATCACCACTCATCAGTGCAACATGTTGGCCATAGCCATTGTTTTCTGCTTAAATGGAACTATAGAAACAACAAAGTCAGGTGTTGAACCAGCAATGGTTGGAATTCTTTCAAAGTTTAGAACCGTTTAAATTAAAAGCTTCTATTGCTATAGGTTTCAGACAAAGTGCGTCACCCATGTATCAAAGACTGTTGTTGAAAAGCTGGGTTGCAAGTAATTTGTGTTTGTAACTGCTGTGTAAGATGTGATTATATCATAGGTAATAACTATACTTTCTGTTAGTTGGACTTCGTGAAATGGAGGGTGTTAATTCTGTTCTAGGCAACAGAATCTGATTTATGAATGACAGCACAACCACAACTCCCACTTGAAGTCAGAGCTGTGTGTGCTCAACATTTCTGAAATACAGGTGCTCGACATGTAAGCAGCTGTCTCGATTGACACTTGGTAGTTCACACTTAGCAATCGCTCTTTAGAGACAGGAGACCCATGGCAATAGACTAATCAATTACGGTTCCCTGATGGAAAAGGTTGGGTTTTTTCCTCTTGTTCGTATAGCAATTTTACATCCCATTTTAAAACAGGACACTTACCCTCTCTCACAAAGCCTGCCTTTGGTTGTTCTGACAGCGAGTAAGATGAAGAAATGCAGTCTAAACATTCAACAAGATGGATAACAAATGTGTGTGCTGACAGTAAGCACAGGGTATGTTCCTGTTGTTTACAGTGCTCACACTCTGACGGCAGATGTCAGCGTGGCCGAGACCGCTTCGGCTGCTGAGCTCTTCCTGGCTGATGGGGTTGTACTGACTGGCACGGCTACCGGATTGCCTGCAGATCCTCAGGAGCTGAAAGGTGAGAGCTGTCATATGAAGGTCGGACAACAGGCGGTGAATCAGCTTCTGGATTAATGTAGAAAGAAATCTATATATCCACTGATTCATAAGGAAAAAAAAAGAGGGAAGAAAAGAAACTCTCGCTGTGGGGTTTGATTTGATACAGCAGAACTAATGTGATTGAGGTGCTATTCAGATTGGCTGTCATATGTTTCTAAACAACAATTTGGCAGGACAAAAATGAAAATTATTTCAAGCTTTTTTAACACTGGATGATGCTGAGGCTTAAATGAAAAAAATCTTTAAAATGTGTGTAAAATATGTAAAAAAAAAAAAACAAAAAAAAAACCCAAAAAAAACCCACAAAAAACCCCCAAACAACCACAAAACAAAAAACCCAAACTGTTTCTAAACCCATTTCTAAAAAATCTTAATATAAGAAAAAGCTACTTTTTAGCCTTAGTAGAAAACTAACTAACTATAAATCTTTTCATTGAACAGTTAAGCATTTTTATCTTTCACAATGAAAATGGAAGTCCTGCAAGAAAAGAGGCATTTTGATAAGGCAACATTCCAAACAGGAATATCAGGGAAAATACTGCTTAAAGGTTTTCAGAAAGAATACAATTTCAATGGTAGATAGAAAGATATTACATCAAACTGATTTCTAAATGGTGTGGACTTTTTATCAGGGGAGAGTCATTTGACCTATGAGCTCTGACCTTTGCAAAAGTTTTATATGATTCTTCATGTTTTTCTATTGGCATAAGTTTGGGCTGTCTTCATGCAAATGGATCGCTGCCATGCTAGAATTAAAGTTCTATCATGGGGGCATTTGATTTTCATCACTAATTTTAATTTAGATTAATGGCTTGAATTTGAGGGTCTCACTACATAAAATAGAATGTGTATTTTTTTAGGTTTTATTTTTGCTGGCATGCTTAAACTTAGCATGTTCTGAAGTTCCAGTGCAGAGTGAATTGTTTTCAATTTATGTTAGCTGATGAGGGTGAAAACCATATTTTACTTGCCACAGATACCTGGACCGCAAACGTCTTTTGAAATAATATGAAATCATCCAGTGTTTTCAGGGTTTTACCTGTATCATACGTGCTTAACAGCATTTAAAATGTATGTTGAACTTGTCAAAATGGGGTTTTATTTCATACATATTAAACAACCTTTTTGCCCAATAGGTTATAAATTACTATGCTTCAATCACCAATGTTAAAAAGAAAATGATGGTTTGTTGTGAATATTGAACTCTTGAATTAGTTGGGTCTTTTGGTACAATAAACTAGAAATGATACGTGGAACAGGTGACTCTGAAAGCGAGGCATATTTCAAGACTACAAAATTTCATTAAACTAGAGCTCCATCCCTGCCTGCAATTACCGTCTCCACCACCCTTAATGCAGATTAAATAATAAAAAAAAAGGATTTGATAAGTCTTACAGCAAAATCCTAGATGAAATTCTGCTTTCACATATGCACATGCAACCTCCATTGATTTCCTGCATCGGCGAGCAAAACCTGACCTCTAGGCCCATAGGTTTTTTATCACAGGACTCCAACCAGACAGCACCATGGCTTCTGCTTTTCTTTCATGTGAACAAACATGTCAGTCTCCGTCTTGTTCTCTTTCTGGATCCAAAGAACAAAATGACTCGGAGTTGGCAGCTGTAGTGAAGTACACACATTAATTTTGTGTTTGGATTTCTGCTATGAAAGCAAGAATCTGTGGATCACGGATTTATTTTACTTAAGTCACAGTATTTTGGATGTTAGCAGGCCCTCTTTTAAGAAGGATGTTGGCTTAAAACAGTTCAGAGAAGAACTTAAAAAATCAATATTCCAGGGTATAAGGAAATGACAAATTAGGCATATCTATGTCAGCAGATTCTTAAAAGGAATCAGATATACAGTCTACAAAGTTGGTGTTGATGTGAGTGAAATTTTGCATTTCACGAATTTATGCAGCCCTGAAAGTGCTGTATTACGATGATACACACAATTGGGCACCTTTCATCACGCTGCAAAGCATCGCTTGAAAGCAGAACCAAGAGACAGATGAGATTTTGTCATGTCTTTTTTTCAGCTTTGTTGTGCAGTAATATAGAAGTGTTTTTGCCTTTGTGTTGAATTGACTGATTTGTGATGGAGTGTGGGAAATGAGTGTTTCCCTGTCAAGCC